CTTCTCGTCATTCCCTTGCTTGCCCCACCCCCTTCCCACCCCCGTGTGTTCCCGCCCCCTCCCTTATGACCAAAAAAAAAAAAAAAAAAAAAAATCACACCTCTGACTGTAAGGAAAGTTGCCTGTTACTCAGCATAATGGCTTGTGTACTTAATTTCACCCCACTACTGTCACTTGTATCATTTTGGACACCCCCAACAACCCCTCTTCCTTAGGTGTTGGGACCTTTCCAATGCTTGCAGAGAGAACTGGACCATTTCACTCTTCAGGGCATGTTTGACCAACGGACACATCCTGCTACCCTGCCTTTCCCTGTGAAGTAGGGGACTCTCTCCAGCCGACTCACTGATGCTATCCTCTCCTGAACCTCCTTCTATTTCCCTCTCTGTGGCATGAAGACACCCAAGTGTGAGCACACTGGTCTGGCAGCAGGGAATAGCACCCCCTACCTTCTGCCATGAAGCAAGGCCTCTGCATATACAACTCTATCATAGCACTGGCTTCTACTACTGAACGTAGCTGCTGGCTTTTCATTCGTCTCTCTCAACCATTTAACATTACTATTTTCCCCTACTACAGGCTGGAAGGAATTTCGCTTGATGGCTGTTAAAGGTAGACGTGTGCAGACCAACAGGCTATTGGTGAGGACCAGATCCTGATACCTGGATTCTAACACTTGCCCAAGTACCTGTCGCAAAGACCACAGACACAGGTAAAGACTTCCTTTCTCTTTTTAAAAGGGAAAACTGAAGCACAGCCAATGTGTTTGACTGGATACCCCCCAGCTAGTTGGTAACAGTGAGGAGCAGAATCCAGGTCACCTGACTTCAAGGCTTGTGCTCAGTTCACTTGGACACAGCTGTTTGCATGCTAAAACACACGCACTCCTACAGATACACTTTCTATCACCCGGACAATTTTCTTTGGAAAACTCCAGCTCTGTGCAGTTCTGCTCATATGTTGCCCCTCAGATGCATCATCTGGGTCACAGTAAGAATGTTCTGCTTAAATTGAAGCACACTCAAAATTTTTAACATTTTTTACTAGGAACCAAAAACCACATTTTCCTCTGTGTTTGTTTGGATTTGATGATGTTTTGTTCTCTTTGCTACAGAGTTAAGTCCACCCAAATGACTGCATCTCTGGGCAGTTTGTTTGAAGACACCTGAAATACTTCTCAATGTTGCCTTTGCTGTTCTTTACTAATATTGAAGAGACATGGGAAGCCATGATCCAAACACTTCAGTGCCTTGAGAGGAATTTTATCCATGGTCATTGGAAGTGCTGGGGGAGGGGCCAGAGGCCAGGAAATACAGGCTTAAAACAATATGTTTGATTTTAGATTCAGTGTTTGATGGGACGATTCATGCAACATCAGCTCTTTCCTGAAGTTCAGGAGTAGCCAGTCAGCTATTCACCTGGAGTTGGGTAGGAAGGGTGCACAACATGCATTAAAGTATTCTTTGTTAAAGACCATGACAATGAAAGGAAGACATTTATGTGCATGGATGGGAACGATTTCTAAGGCTCCCATCAGCACAGCTCAGCTAAGCCATCTAATGTTTCTCTCCTGCTGTGAAATCTGGCTTAGGGTGGGATCTCCACCACGGACTGGGGTGTTCAGTCTAACCAGCTGTAGAAACAACAAGAAGTTGTCAGAAAAGTCCCTCTTGGGCAGACCACTCCAACCTTGCTTGCCAGAGTGATTCATGAGGAGTTTAATCCTGCTAAGGTTCTGGGTTCCCTGCCACATTTTGTTGTCTTACTACACCAGTTCCTGCCATTCCCAGGCACAGATTTAAAATGAGAGCTCCTGGGTTCCAAGCAGCATTGGCTAACAGCGATGCTGTTTGTGACTGGTTTTGCTGTGCGCTTAACAGAAGAGCTTGGACCTACAGACAAGTCTCCTTTTTTATCCTTAGACTGACGCAGCCCCAGGTGGCTTGACCAGCGATGGAAGATTCGCACAGTGATGACAGTGGCTTCCAAGCCTATATATAAACAATCACCAATTACACCACTTCAGACCTTGCCATGAGCTGTCAGTCTTTAAAAATGGGTTGCCCCATCTCTACAGTTGCTGGGGGGAGTGCTGAGTTAGGTATTTTCACAAAACCATTTGTCTCCCTCACTAAGTGGGGAAAGGTCACTTCTTTATTTAAGATACAATAGGACTGAGGGCTGGATGTGCTGCCAGCTGATGGGCAGCACTCCAGCCACTTCCTGACCCCATGCCCTTCCACCCCAATCACCCACAAAAACACCGGTATCAGGCAATCAGAACTGGCAACTGCATTCTACCTGGAGGCATGATAGTGACACATATGTGGGCAAAACAAGCAGTGCGTGCTTTCCTGGAGGGAGGGACTAGGCTAGCAAGCTTTTGGCTTGGCCTGGCTGTCAGCAAAGAGCTCTCAAGAGGCAGATGAAATGAGTGGCTGGTACTCCTGCAGGAAGATCTTTGCTCTGGGGAAGGTCACGAGGACACTTTTCCTCCTGCCTGCTGGTACTGTGCCTGTGCTGCCAGAGGCAGTGGTACCAGCATATGCTGACTTCCAACAGTGTACTCTGGGCGCATGGCAGCTCTGGATTAAATAAGAGAAAAAGGATCCAAAACATATCTTCTGTTGCATACAGGCTCCAGCTGTGATTTTGTCATGTCAAGCAGGGTCAAGCTGGGGCACTGATTTCATGGGAAAACTCCAGGGCAGTAGAAAGTGATGCCTGCAGATCAAATCAGGAGCATTCTTTCCTCAAGTCCCTGGTAAACCAGGGTCCCAGAGCAGCCAGCATTGGTGGCTGTGCTACTTGAGGGATCATCCTTGGAAAGAGCTCTCCAGTTCACCCATGGAACTTTTTGCCAGAACAAAAGCTGTCAGCCTTTGTATTTAGCTAGGTAAGCTCTACCTAGATTTCCCTCCTGCCACAGGTGGGTGTTCACTTCCTATCCTAAACTCCTATGCAATTAAGCCATCTGCCCCTGAAACCTGCCCTACTCTGGGGATGGTGACACTGCTGGTGGTGGCAAACTGGGCTGTAGTTTGTGCAGCCAGGTGCAAAGCTCTCCTGGATCTCACATGGCTAAAAGACAATGCAAATATTCAGAACCTCCATAACTGCCCCCTTTTTTTTTTAAGCTAGGCTGGACTAAGGGTCTCCTCTACTTAAAGAGGAAGTGACACTGTTTTATTAAACCTACAGCACAGCTATAGTGACGCAAGTTACTAACAGTATGCTTATGTACTGCTGATCTGAGGCAGGTGTTTCAAGCACAAGCCAAGGTGCTGGTTACAAGTTTTCAGAATGAAGAAAACTACCCTTCTGGTCACGCTGTACCCAAGGTAACCTTGACTTGCTTTGGGTCCTTTCTTATCTAACCGCTACTTTAGGACAGTCTGTATTACAATTCCCAACAACACAAGCTCTTAGTTCCTCTGGTCTTAAAAACCTATACCCATTGTCCACTATAAAGTTTAGCAAGAACATCAGATCTCTCTGCATGTAAGCACAGATGATGTCTACTGGTTTATGTTAGAGGCCCTTTTTAAGAGGAGGCCCAACTCAGCCCTGCCTGGGTACTGAGAATACTGTTTGTGCATCTGACTGAAGATGGAGCACATAGTTCATGGGATAGATACACAACTAGGTCAAAGCAAAACAGGGTACATTCTGTCTCTATCCTATTCTGGATTCTTGAAAAACTCAAGATGGGCTGAAGGAGACTCTGGTAGGAGGTAAAACACAGCAGGATTTTCAAGAGGCTTCTAACAAGATCCATCACAAAAAAAATTAAGGAAAACAGCTAACCATGGGATAAGACAGATGTATCAAGACATGGTTCAAAACACAAAGGATACTTAGGAGTAAATGGCGGCATCTCCAAGTGCAGGGAGGTTAACAGTCTGCTACCCCAGGGGTGGGCATTTAACATATTAATGATTTAAGGGAGAAAGTGGACAGTGAGGTAATGATACCTGCTGAAAACTGAGCTACACTACAGAAGGGTAAGAAGAGCTGGGAGGAGCTCCAAAATAATAGAAATGTGCTGAGGAATTAAGCAAGGGATAGAAGATGGGATACAGAAGGGCAGAAAAGAAGAGGGCAACTCCAAAAGCATGGGTGTGTGCCCAGTCAGCATCCTTCTTTCAGGACAGAACAGCTGTCACGATAGCCCAGTGACAGTGCCTAGCCAGCCAACAAGCACCTGAAGAGAGCTGAATGGACTGGGAAGAACATTTATAGATATCTTCCTTCTCTTCAAGGATTCATCATATCCATTACACAACTCCCACGGAATAAAAGAATAAAAGACCATTCTTTGCTGAAGACATTGCACACAAATCAGTCTCAAACCATGTTAAATGCATTCCCTGCCAATCCTCCATGCTACATCTAGATGTCAGGATGGCGAATGCATCAGCATGCCTGAGATGTGGACTATGCAGGTGTATCTGGGTTTTTTGTACCCATATACATCAACCATGGTGTCATTCCATGAAAGTACTCACATAGCCACTAGCAAGCTCTTGTACTCCTGACTCCATCTGCTGCATATTACATTTTCAAAACAAAGCCCTCTTGCCTTTCAACGTTGTCTGGAACTCTGCAAAGCACCATTCAGGGAACACA